TTCAAAGCAAAGTGTAATCTGCATGTGCATGTCATGAAAGAATAACTGAGGTATCCGAGCTCTGTGTTGTATATCTCCCAAATTTCTTCCGCTTTAATTCTCCATCTCAAGCAAAACATCTACAACCAGTATATCATAAAAAAAAAATCATACAAAATCCAGACTTACAAACAATTTGTGCAGGTAGCCAAATAAAATCACAACCAAAATTTAAAGAGTTCATTAGAAATGATGGATTAACATAATAAATGAAGTATCTGACCTGTAATTGTCTCTACAGCTGAATGATATTCTAGCAATACATATGAACATTTTTCCATGGCAAAACGCATGTATTCATCACGTAAGGCTTCAAGTTTGGCTGCCAGCTGTTAAACACTAAAACACTATTAAATTCCTGATGAATTCCATCAGTATGCTATATCAAAAACCAATACCATGATCTTTTGCTTTTTGAAAACCATAAATTTAAGAGTCATTCAACAAGCATACATTTGGAACAAGATCACTTTGATTCCTATAGTATGCTTTCCCAAATGCTGTCATCCCTGTCTGTAGAATTAAGATTTCTGCAAGCCTTGAAGCTTCTAAAGTAGCCTTTGCAGAGATCCAGCAAAGATTGTCGATCCCAAACATTTCCTCCTCAATTACTCGAGCTGCAAATAAATTAAATATTAACAAATTTATTCATTGAGAAAAATACAAATTACAAAATAAATATGGGGAAGGGGAGAACATATATGTTCATCCATGTACAAGTATAAAAAAGTATTTATTCCCAGGATGACTAGGAAGGAAACAAACTCCAAATATTCACTAAAAGAAGAAAAAACTTATGTAACTTACGAGCGCATGCACGCACTATGGAGTTCACATAATCTGATTTTCGAGCAAAAACCTTGCCCGCCGTTTCTGAATAGCGCATATTTGGCTGGCTACGAATGGAGTTAATGTCTGTCTGCAGAAGACAGATATCAAGGTTTGATACACATTTATAGATATAAATGACATAATACTAAGTGAAGCAAGATGACTATGGATGATTTTGTATTCATTACCTCTGTGAAAGGACGATAGGGATCTGGAAAGTAACATGCAAGAACAGCAACAGCTGCCTCTCGGTATGCCAATCTCAGTTTTAGCTCCTCCGGAACTTCCGTTGTATCTTCTTGGCCTGTTTCAAATGTTCCTTTTTGCTGGAAAATAATGGAATGTAAAGGTATTAGACTGAAATCAATCAGGTAAGCTGAAAACTGGAAGCTCAAACACATAGAGAATACAGTGCTAACCCTCTTTAAAGCTTCTAGAAGTTCATCTCGACCTATGTAGTCTAAATCTTTCCTGGCAGTCAGAATTCCAGCTTCATTCCTGCCAATGATAAGGAAAAATAAGCCTTCTTCTCCTATGTGAGTCATAGTGGATTAAAGATGCAGTAGTGCTTACAGTATATTTTGGAGTTCTGCCCCCGTAAAATCTTCGGTAAGCTCAGAAACTTCCTGCAGTAGTGACTCCTTCTCCTCCTCCGAACGAAAAAATTTATTTCTAGCATGTACCTAGTTTGGAAAGAATTTTATCTCAAAAATAACTACATGCAAAAATAAGTCTAAAACTAAAAGGGCAATATAGCAAATTACCTTAAGTATGGCCAATCTACCATCTTTAGATGGCAAACCAACCCTTATGATCTTGTCGAAACGACCCTTTCTCAAGAGAGCAGGATCAAGAATGTCGAGTCTATTTGTTGCACCTATAACTAATACCTGGCAAGCCCAATTTAGCAGTTAAATCAGAAACTTAGCGATAATCAGCAGAAATATTTAAAGCATACCTGTGATGTAGAAACTTTAAATCCATCCATCTCAGTCAGTATCTGAAGTAAACCCTGCTCCCTTTCTGCACCACCCTGTACAGTTAAATGACATGCACAAGTCGTATTCAATGAACCTGAGTAGGTTAGCTGATAAATTGTAAGAAAAGAACATGGTTCAAATCATTCTCTCTCTTTCCTTTTCTCCATCTGATACTGAATGGCTTAAGTTGGGTTTGCCTAAATAGGTTAAAACTATAATTCTTTTAAAATAGAGAACTATTTTTTTTTTCTTGAAATAAAAAGTAAAAAGAATGATATTCACTAGGTACCAACGGGGTTTACAAAAAATTTATAATTGTGTTAGAATATCTATGACTTTTCCAAAATTTTCATCCTATAAATATCATGCCCAAAAAATCAAATATCCAAAAAAAAATGGAACCATCTATCCCTGATCTTAGGAATCTCACCTTCCTTACCCTCAAAAGCCCTACTATTTCTTTATTTCCATAAAACCCAAAAAAATAGCAAGTAGAATAAGATTTACAAATTGTCTTTTTTTGCATAAACCTTCCCAAGCCCATAACTCCTCCCTCACTGACCCCCACAATAACCAAATTGATCCTTAACAGGCCATAAATCATTGTCCATAATTCATAGGCCATTGACACCATAGGAGAATATGATTACATGATTCAGCAGCTTTCTTCTAATACTTACTAAAATTTCTTAAAATACAGAACTATAGTATTGATTAGGAATCTATTAATGTAATTTTAGTAACTTTAGAATTTTTATTTTTTTTAGTGTTTAGTTTTCCTCTTTGTATTAGTAGAATTATCTTCTAAGACTTATTAGTATTTCTTAGTCTAATCCTATTTGAGAAAACTTACTTAAAAAGCATTATAAATATAATTGTAATTTTACTTTTTGAGATACACTTCAGTTATTCAATAAAACTTTGAGAATTTTCTCAATTTTCCGGTTATGTGATGTAATCAAATACTTAAGTAGGATGCTTAAGATTTCTGAATAGACATCTAAAAAACTTAAGGTATGATATACAGGTTTTTATTCCTAAATTTTTAAGTAGGCAAATTAATTCTATTTTTTCCTACATTACCATCCTTTTTGTGGTACAAAAGGAGTTTCTATGGTAAATTTTTATTTCCTCTTTTTTCCTTATCCACTTTTTGGCCTAGAAGGAATGATTTAACTTACCCCACCAATATCAGGTCCACCACGCTTGCTACCAATAGCATCAATCTCATCAATAAAAATGATGGAAGGTGCAAATGACCTGGCACTAGCAAAAAGATCCTTGACACGTGATGCTGCCACACCTACAAACATCTGCAAAGCCAGTTTTTGAAGTTATACTTCTGTAGATTCCTAAACCCCAAAAAAGAGGTAACTTCTCATCCTTCCATTTTCTCTGACCTTTCATGTTAAAGCCAGGCCTTACCTCAACAAAATCAGTGCCATTCGCAGCAAAGAAAGGTAATCCAGCTTCACCAGCAATAGCTTTAGCCAGCAGCGTTTTACCAGTCCCAGGAGGGCCATGGAGAAGGACACCTTTTGGGCAATAGATACCTTTATCTTGGAACTCTTCGTCATTTTTCAGAATCCGCACAATTTCTTGCAGTTCCCCCTTGATGTACTCCTGACCAGCAAAATCATCAAAGGTGACACCAGTTCTTTCTTCAGCCGATATAAATTTTGCCCTGGTAGGAAGCAGTACAAAGTTAGACCCAAGCCTTTATTGCAAGAGTAATTTATCCAGCTACTTAAGTCCCTCCTGTATTTCTTTTTTATGCCTCCTTGTAGTTATTTTTGGGGTACAAAATACCTTTAAATTACATGAATGCAATTTCCACAATAAAAGATCAAATTATCATGCGAGCTAAAACTTAATTGCCAAACTTACTTTGTATCATGAAACTTCAGATCAAATCCTACATATTCTTGTTCATTACCAAAAAGAGAATACTACCACACTAGGATTTAACAGGTAAAGGAATGAGAGATTGCTACCTCCCATTGCATAGCCCATAGCCCATAGCCCATAGCCAAATTGAGCCTCTCCATGTACCCAATAAAAAGGACAAACTCTTCGACAACAAACAAATTAAGCTTTCTTCTCGGACTATAAATCATATTCATGACAGCATAGAGCGTAAGTCAAACCATTGCACAACAAGCAATAAATTCACGAGAAAAAAAGCAACTAGTGAGAATTCCAAGGCATAATTCTCACATTAAGCCCAATTCCCACCATGAGAAGCTAAAGAATAACTAAAGAAAAAGGAT